GTCGACCCACTTCTGTACATCGAAAGGAGACTGCGACCATAACACAGGCCACAACATCTTGGTCTTCATATATCCTGCTCATGTGATTGCAGTGAAAATGAAACTGCAAGTCCCCTTATCCTCTAAAATAAACACATCTCTTTTACTGACGATTAAGATGGCGGCGAAACGCCAGATAAGATTCTGTTTCATTCGTTGGCTGCTGAAAATAGCCATGACTACCTTGGCGAAGGATGCGGTCCCATGTGCCCCACGTGGCATTCTCAGGGAGGAGCATACAGCGGCTCTTCGGCCGATCGGTCCCAATTGTACCCTTGACTACCATTATAGTGCTTAAATGAGCCCTCGTCAGCCGGTCAAGCCGGAGATTAGCTCATCTGCCCGGTACGTGGGGCCAGTGGATGGGGATGCGATTTGTCCGGCGAGCAGCATCATTTAAGCTTTCACCAAGTGCCTCTTTTGTTAGTTCATGAGCCGATTCTACAGCCCTACTCGTGGCCTAATGAAGAATGGTGGTTGAGCATATGCCAGAGGCCTGTTGTCCGCTCGACCGGTCGGTTGGAGTGGCGATGATGCAGCAAATGTGATGTGTGTGTGTGTGTGTGTGTGTGTGTGTGTTTGTGTGGTGAGAGAAGAAGCGAAGTAGACGTATCTTGGCGATTTATGGCCGAAATGAGGTAGCATTTTGAGCATGAAAAGTGTACCCTCATCTCTCATCGGCCAACTCGACTGTATGGCCGGACGGTTGGGGGGCGTCGAGATGGCCGAAATTGTGGGATAAACGGAGGCCTGCTGAGCAGGCAGCCGAGGGGGATGGTCATGGCGATTTATGTGATTTCTCTTAACAAGTTGGCATAATTCAATAAGAATGCCAACCCACTGATCTTCACCTCCCCCGACAATCATTGCCGCCTCGGTCTGCTCCAACCGCACAGTGAAATGGGGCCGGTCTTTCACTCGTCCTTAATGTAATGCTAGCGCCAAATGTAGGAATCGGCGCTCCGAAACTGCTACTTTCCTTCCTTTCATGATCGCTTTTGCAGATG